CGTGCCTTGAAATGTAGACACAACCATCACTTGCTAAGCACTGAAATCCTTTGTGTTGCATGTTGTAACCTAAAAACGTGCACAGTTGAGATTGAAACTCAAGCTTGTGATGCAAAAATGGCCTTAGATGTGGAAAACATTTGCAGCCAAACACTCTCAATCCACTGTAATCTAGAATTTTGCCATAAAAAACCTCAAATAGAGACTTGTCATACAAAACTCTTGATGGTAATCTGTTAACCAGGTGCACAATGGTCTGAATAACATGGGACCTGAATTTAATAGGCATGGAAGCCTGAGCAAGTAGAACTAAAGCCATCTCAAAAAGATGCCTATGTTTTCGCTCAACTACACCATTTTTTTCAAATATATGAGGACAGGTAAGATGATGAAAAACACCAGCCTTGCTTAATTCATCTGTCAATAGTCGAAACTCTCCTCCCTAATCAGTTTGAACAGCTTTAACTACCCTACCAAATTGTGTATCAACTAACTTTTGAAATAACCTAAATATTGTTACAGCTTTAGCCTTTGTTTTTAACAAGTACATCCATGTAAACCGTGTGTCAGCATCAACAAATGACACATAAAATCGAAAGCCATTTGAGGAAACGTGTGGAGGTCCCCATAGATCCAAATAGACAACCTGAAATGGTTCAGTATAAACACTATTAGATTGAGGAAAAGGCAACTTGTGGCTTTTACCCAAATGACAAGCTACACAACTTTTATTAACATCATGAAGAGTTTTTACATCAATTTGTTTATAAACTTTAACAAGAGTATCATGACTAGGGTGACCCAGTCTCTTATGCCAAATTTCAGATGTCTTGGAGGATACCATGGAAATATGAACTTTAGCTGCACCATTTCTTCTTTGAGTACTGCTAGCTTTGAAAGTGTATAAGCCAATACATTATTCACCTCGCAGCAACACAACCTTGGTGTCTTCATCTCTAACACAGTAAGTTTCAACATGAAACTCAAGAAACACATGGTTATCCCTAACAAGCTTAGAAACAGAAAGTAGATTATTAGTAATTGAGGGAACATGAAAAATGTCGCTTAGGGACAAAGTACGCGAAGAAGCTTGTAACTTAGCCTTTTCAACCATATGAACAGACAAATAATCACCATTACCAACCATTAACTTACCAAGATTGCCATAATTTGTGTGATGAGTAATCAATGTTGTATTGGAAGTAACATGGTGTGTTACACCAAAGTCAATCACCCACTGATCTTGAACATCATAACCATAATGTGCCTGGTTTTTCCCAACACTTATGTTATCATCATGATACGTACCGTTGTAATTATAGCAACCACATGCACTGTCACTGGCTCCATAGGCAGCATAGTAGACTTTAGAACTTTCAGAACCAGAGGTATGATCATCAAGTGTAATACCGGTGAAATCCACATCAAACCTATGCAGCACTGACTGACAAGATGTCCATTCTTGCCACATAGTTGGCACTGAACTTTGGTTTTCCCGATTTTTGTTAGAATCGGATTCTACCTTTCCTTGTGCAAGATTAGCACTAATAGGTAAAGACTCATGCTGATAATAGAAGCCCTTAAGATGTGTTTCAGCATCAATGAGCATAATGCAGATGTTGTTGAGTGATAGCAAGTCACGCATAGCATATATGACTGCTATGAAGGGCTGATACTCCCTTGTAAGACCTTTAAGGATGCTTGCAACATGTTCATACACTGAAACTGGACTTCCACAAGAAGTTAATGCATCAATGACTTCTTTCACCTTAGTAAGATAAACTCTCATGCTATATTCTCATTTCTTGAGGGACTGTATCTTGTAATGTAGACTCATTACAGTAGTGGTAGATCTATTTACAAAGAATTGCAAAACTTTATTCCATACCTGAGCTGAAGTTTCAGCACCAACAAACTGTGGGAGTAAGTGAGGACTGATTGTTGATAACAACCAGGAAGCTAACACGTTATCTTGGGCCAGAAACTCCTCATACTCTTCATTGATGACTGTAACTCCTTCTTCACCAACCACCATTTCTGGAGGAGGTAGCATCGTTCCTGTCAACATTCGCTCAAGACGATGACTCATCACAGTGAATAATACTTATTGTTTCCAAAGAAGGAAGTTTGATTCGTCAAGAATCACATTTACCCTTTTGTTGGTGAAAACTTTGGTGTTTCTTGAAGAAAACTCCATTGAAGTGGTTGTGGAAGAGGCACTTTGATCAATAACAACACGAATAGCGAAAACAATCCCAAGGATACAGCAGTGAATGGTACCATGTTGAGATACTCGGAGTAACTACACTAAGTAACAAGAATAAAAAAACATGATTTCTTTCTTATTGTTTAACTCTTCCTTTACAAGCTTTATATAACATTCATACATGCATGCAGTTACAAAACTGCTAAAAACCCTAACCACCTAACGTCCTAACTGTAACAACTCCACGAGCAATGATCAGCTACAAGCAACTCCATGTAACTCCATGAGCAGTGACTGCATGTAGCTCGAGCAGACTTATTCTAACATTCATTTACATCCCTATAAACCCTTCCACCTGAACTTAACCCGACCCAAGAAGTATATCCTCTCCACCTGAACCCGACCCGACCCGACCCAATTTTTGAGGTAAAACTCTACATCTGATCCGATCCAACATAAATATAAAAAATATTTTATTCAATAAATTAGAGACTTCACTGAAAAATACCATAGAAAGATTGGTATTGTAACAATTATCTATAAATTTATAGAAGAAAATTATACTATTACTTGGTATTTGGTCGAGTAAAAGATTTTTTTATCATAAATCTTACTCGACCTGATCTTATCCTCTATAAAATTTCACTATCTTTGTTTTATTAAAAAAATAACCCTAACAAATTAAATTGAATCAGAATTCAGATTTAGTTTAATCCCTAACCACGCCTATGATGATTGGGCTTACATCCACGACGTTTGAATTATTATTGGAGATTTTCTTCGGCACAAACGTTTTCACTTGGTATGACTTGAAGCCAAACGTTCAAATAACCTTTTGGACTTTATTTCCAATATAATAAATCTTTTATGTGTTGATTTTACCTATCAATGAAATTCATTTTCGATAAGTTTTATATATTATCACTATATAATTTTGTGACAAAACTTAGAAAGGCAAATCAATAATAAAGGATTTACCATATGTGCAGCCAAAGTGAACCGAAAAGTGAAGGCTAGACTCCAAAAAACAAACGAAAAGACTAGTCATGAGATCCCATGGTTGGTCCATGGTCAAAGCCCTAGTCAAAGTGACCCCTTCTAGCAGAAGTTTTTGTACCACTTTTTTTCTGGGCCTAGCTGGCAGATAGATAAAAAGCAAAAGAGCTTGCCGATGTGGCACTGAAGCCTTTACAAGTCCTTGCTTTAAAAGACTAAATGAACATCTGCACTATCCCCGAAAGAACAAAACTGTCCTCGTCGTCACATAATTAAATTGCTTGTCCAAACGGTTGAAGGGTCTTTTATGTAATAATAATACCCCCCAACTTTACCACGTGACATCTTCTGCTACCGGTTTCTCTTAGCTGTCTCTTTGCATATAGCATGAGACTTATTTAAGAACCCTAACCAAATGATTAGTGTGTTCTTAACCATGTTGTTTAGTCTTTTAATTTAGATCTCTCTTGTCTGATCTTGTTTGCAGGAAATATCCGTGCTTCAGGCGTTCCATGTTATTCATACATAAGGAATGTAAATGAATGGAATATTAGATGAAGTAATATGAATCTTTCGTATAACGTTCGTTTATGTTTAATTATTAAATTAAATAAACGAGTATAGACAAAATTTTATGTTCAGTTAATAAAGAAACAAATAAAATAAAATTGTTTTAGGTTTGTTATGTTCATGAACAAGTTCTTTTCTTGGCTCGTTTATTGACTCATTTAAAATTTGTTTATTGGCTCATTTGAAAATCATTTCTTGGCTCATTTGAAACTTGTTTATCAACTCATTTTCTTTTTCTTTTTTTATATTTTAAATATTTGCGAAGATATTAAATGAATTAAACAGAAGGTTGAAGTTTGAAGTTTAAATTGTGAAGCCTAAAGAAATTAAAGACATTGCTTTAATTTCATCTTTTTCCTTTAGCTTGCAAATAGAAGGATTAAAAGATAGTGTTGGTTGGTGAGCATTAAAAGAACGTTAAATTAAATATCCTTGACCATTAAACGAATATATTCATAAATGTTAAACGAATGAACACGAACTCTTAAAAAGACAAATAAACGAACATAAACACGATATTGAAAATTTAAAGAAAATAAACTGAACATGAACATTTTCAGAAATAAACAAACAAACACAACTATAACTTTATTCGTTCCGATTCACTTACACCCTTAATTATTAATCGCTTTCTACAATTTATCACATTAATAGTGCAGCATTTTCATGTAAATTTTACTTTGTTCTCTTATTAAATTAGACGATCATACAAGTCAATATTGTGCTGGGATTTACTTTTCAGTGAAGTGCAGAGTCAAATGCCACATGCAAGTTTAAAAGTTTGAGTGATGATTGGTGGCTTATCCACTTTTTCCAGTATGCTTTCATTGTAAAACTAAATCTTTTTCCCCCATCCCTAATTATCTACACTTTCCTAGAAAAAAAGAAGTCTCTCTTTCTCTTTCTACTTTCCCTGAGAAAATTTTTGGGGTTTGTTGTGTCAGTTTGAGTGGATTTTGCTTGGCCTTTTCTTATAATGCTACTTTCGTAACACTTTCTCTCTCCCACCCTTCTTTTTCTTGTCCTCACTTTGTGGGAACCAGTGGTTTGAATAAGTAGTTTTAGATTTCAACTTTAAACTTTTGAAGATTCTTTTGATGATTTTGATGTCTTCTGTTGGTTCTCTCCTTTTCTTTTACATACAAGAATTACCAAAAACCATGAAACAGCATGATCCTTGATGTTTATTGAGTCATTGATCATTTTCTTTCTTGTCAAAGGGTTATTTTAGGCGATGGCTGATCAAGGTGGTATTGTGACCAGAGAATACAGGAAAGGGAACTGGACTTTGAATGAAACAATGGTGTTGATCGAGGCGAAGAAGATGGTTGACGAGAGAAGAATGAAGAAAAGTGAGGGAAAACCAACAGAGCTGAGATGGAAATGGGTGGAGGATTATTGTTGGAGGAGAGGGTGTTTGAGGAGCCAGAATCAGTGCAATGATAAATGGGATAATCTCATGAGGGACTACAAGAAAGTGAGAGAGTACCAAAGGAGAAGAGGTGAGAGTGGTAGTGATTATTGGGAGATGGAGAAGAATGAAAGAAAAGAGAAGAGCTTGCCTACTAACATGTTGAGGCAGATATTTGAGCATTTGGAGCAGGTGGTGGAGAAGAAAGGCGGTCAAATTGTGGTGGCTGCCGGTGGTGCTAGTGGTGGTGGCTCGGTTGCTGTTCATAACATACCTTATGTTATGGATACACCAATTACTAGTGTGCAACCTTCATTGCAACATCAACTTCCGCCTATTCCAGCTGCAATTCCATTGCCTCTAACAGCAACGCAGCAGCTGCCACCGCTGCCACCGCCACCAACAGCTGCTCCTACACCACTTCTACAACCATCCCTTTCGTATGCTCAGCCATTTCCAACAGTAGGTACTCTCCTCATCTCTCGCTTGCCTTGCTCACATGCACATCTTCTTTCTCTTTCGCATTGCACAAGTTCGAATGATTTTGGCACGCCATGTTACAATGGCAAAATATTTTTTTCTAAATTTAGAGGGACAATTTCGTAATTACATCATAAATACTGAAATTTTATGTATAAATTAAATGTAAAAAAAATTGCCGGTTTGGGGGGCCACAGCCCCTTCATATCCTTAATAGTTCCGTCCATGCATGTTTCATATTTACCTATAAGGGTGAGTATTTAATCTAGTTAAATTTTTAAAAATTGAGTTATTTAAGTAGTATTATTATTTTGTAACTTAATATTTAATTGAATTTTTTCGATTAGAGTTGAATTTATGAAATTTGAGTAGAATCAAGTCGAGTTATTTGAGTTTTTGTTTAAATTTAATTCTAAATATTCATAATATTACGGTAATTTTTTATTCTAATTTAAATCATTTTCTATGATCATATACAATATACATAAATATTTCTTTATATTTTTTTACATAAGTGATATACATATATCACTCAGAGTGAAAGATTCGACTCAAACTTTAATATCAATCCACTAATTACTAAAAATCTTGAGTTTTTCTAATTGTAGGGTCTGTTTGTTTCAATGAAAATATTTTTTGGAATATGTTTTTCGTAAAATAAATTACATTTTCTAGAAAACGTTTTACGGTATTTTGAAGATATTATGTAAATCATTTTCCACTAATTAATAAATTTTTAAAAATTTATTTATTATAAATATTAAATATAATAAATAATATTATTTATCATAAAATTAATATTATTATTTTTAAAATATTAGAATAATTTATTTATTATTAAAATAGTATTTATATAATAAAAATAATAGTATTAGTACATTTTATTGAAATAAAATAATTATAAATTACATTAATTAATTATTAAAGTAATGATATTATATTATATTTTAAAAAGATTAATTAATATATTTTAAATATTTTTATTAAAATATTATTAGATTATTATATTAATATTAAATACATAAATAATATTATTCATTATTAATAATTTAACAATATTATTTTTCTTGAATTGATAAATAATATAAATTTTATTAATAATTTATTATATTATTAAAATAAAAATATAATATCTTATATTATTATAATATAATTGATTATTTTATTAAAATGTTAAAATATATAATATTATTTTATTAGAAATATTAATAAATATATTTTAAATATTTTAATAATTAATAAAATGATATTAAAATATTTTATTAATATAAAATTCATAAAATAAAATTATTTTGAGTGTTTATTTTTTGGAGTGAAAAGTTTAGAAAATGATTAACTAAAAATCAGACTAGAAAACACAAAGGAAATTAAGTTGTCCAGTCAAATATTTTACGTTGATATACCAATTTTTCTCCAATCAAACACTGAAAAAATGAAGAAAACGTTTTCTAAAAAATATTTTACGTGAAACAAATAGACTCGTATTTTACAACTCAACTCAAATTTTAAAAAAAAATTCGAATAAATTCAAATTTTTTAACGTCAAATCTTTTTTCGCTCTCCATAATCACATACCATGATGGTGCACTGATTTTAATATTGAACTACTGAATGATTTTATTGGTACCATTTTTATGTGTCGGAGATGTACGTGAAAGCTCAGATTCTGATACAAGTGAGCACTCGGACTCAGTAGGAAAGAAGAGGAGAAGATCGGGAGGTAATGGGGAAGGAACTGCCAGTCCAAGCAACTCAAATAATGAATTTGGAACTGCAATCTTTAAAAGCGCTTCCATTATAGCAGAAGCAATACAGGCCAGGGAGGAGAACGAGGAGAGGAGACATAGAGACCTTGTTGTTTTACACGAGAGAAGGCTACAGATTGAGGAATCTAAGGCAGAGATCAACAGAAGAGGAATTGAAGGCCTGGTCGATTCCATTAACAGGCTTGCTAATTCCATCATTGCTTTGGCTTCCCATAAAAACCAGTCAGCTCCAAAGTGATTCTTTCGATGATTCTAATTACGTCTTAATTGAGACTCTCTCATCTACTTCAAGTCAGGTGTTTGAACTCCCATGTCTTAACAAGGGTTGGTTGTAATACTACAAAAAGTTAAATATAAGCAATTGTTGTGCATTTGGGGTCATCTTCAAGGAAAGCATACTGCTATATATGGCATACATGCATATATGGGGATGCCAAAACCCTATTCTTTATTGTTTAAACACAATTTTTTCCTGGAACAATTATAATGTATTATTTGTTTAGATTTTTCTAACTTATTGACAACGCACATTATCCTACACACGTAACTACTATAACTTAAATATTTTTGGGAGAACATTGTTCCCTTTAATGGTTCTCAAAAGAGAAGTTACTTCAAGCAAGCAACTAGGGATGTAAATAAACATAGTGTTCGAAGAATTGTTAAACCGCTCGTATAATGTTCATTTATTAATAAGAGAATGAACCCGAACAGAAGTGTGTTTGATTCGTTTATGTTCGTGACAAGCCTTTTATTGTCCATTTTATAAGCTCATTTATCAACCCGTTTACTCGGTTTAGATATTGATCATAAGGTGAACTTTTAAATTAGAATTGTGAAGCCTAAGATACGTAAGGACTAGTGACGTAATTTTATCATTTATTGGCTTGCAAATAAAAGAATAAAAAATGTTAGTTGTCAAACTTTGAATGAACAAGTTTGCGAATGTTAAACGAATGAATACAGACACTTTAAATAAACGAACACAAACACAATACTAAAATTTTAAATTACTTATCTAAAAAAAATTAAATAAATACGTACCAAACATGAACCTTTTAAATAATAAGTAATCACACACAAATACATTTTTATTTCTTCGAGCTAGTTGATTTACACTCTTACAAGCAACCCAAATTCAAAAGTTGATAATTCTGATACACAGATTTGGAGTGTGAATCACACATGGGGAAGGGGAAGCCGCTCACCTTATCATTCAATCATATATGAAGTAGAAATGTGAGAGAAGTGTGGAATTGACCAGTACTTCTCTGAGACTGGTCAAAAGCGACCAGTCAAAAGTATCTCTGAACTGAACCCTCTGACTCTGACATGAAGGCTGCCCTGGTTCACTTACTTTCCAGAAATGCCAATGTAGGCACTGTTCTTAGGTCAAAATTTGAAATTAAACATTTCATTCAAAACAAAAAAGTTTATGAAAATTTTTCACCCTTGTACCATACATTTTAAGAGTATATCACAAGTTACTCCAAAAAAAAGTGTATATCATTAGACATTTTGATGCATGTGATTTTATTTCTATTTTTTTCACTTAGGCGAGATCTAAAGGAAAAATATTATTAGATTATATGTAGGAAAAATTGGCTCATTTAAGGTATTGAATAAATTATTTGTTGAGATAGAAGGTTTGTTACGATATCAGTAGAAAGACACACAGATTGTCTGGTGTTTTTGGAAAGTCGCGTATATCATTTGACATCTTATAGATTATTTATCAATTAAATTTGACGCTCCGATTACATGTAAAAAATAAGATATTGTGTCTTTCATTTGTCTCTCCAAAAATATCTTGTTTTTCGTTCGTTTTTTCTATCAACACTATAGGAAACGCTATCTAACAAATAACTACCCCAACACCCTAAAATCCTAAAAGAGACAATATTTTTCCACCATATTTTCTAAGGGATTTTGCTGAGATCTAATATTAAAATTCCTAATATTTTATCAAAACATTTAATTAAATATCAAAATTTTAATGGATACATAAATTTTCTTTTTAATTATTTTGATATAAAAAACTTTACAAGGGATATCAAATTTAAAAAAAAATTAAATATAAAATCTTTTAACGAATACCTACGACAATGCTGAAGTTGGTTTCAACTTGATCGAATTTTAGGAATTCATCGGCTCAGGACGGATATAGGAATTTGTGTTATGAGGTACGAACATAAAAAATTATATTAGAACTTTAAGAGGTACAGGATCATAAGATCTTAGGGGATGAGAAATTAAATAATTCATATAAAATACAAAAAAATATCTAAAATATAAGGGAACTTAATTTCTAGGGGTGTGATCGCATCCTCATCAACCCTCGTTCCATCCCTACATCAACTCCTTAAACCCAACCCAAACTCATGTCCATCTTCTTCTTCTTCACTTTCAACCTATACCAAATCTACTTCTATTTCCAAAAAAGTAAAGAAAACTCATTTCCTTCTTCCCCATTTTTCATCTTTGTATCACTCTTTTCCCTTTTTATTTTCTTGAATTAGGTGGATTCAATCTTTGATGCTTTCAGTTCAGAAGATCTGGTGGTATCGATGCTCCAATTACATTTAATCTAAATTTCAATTCGATCTCAACAATAAGGTCAAAAACTGATTTGTTTATACAAATATTTCTAAGTAATATAAATTTTCAGACCAATAATCAAACTTTCTAAGCAAAAAGTACAACAATTTCTAACAATGCTACTACGGGTAGGGGTGTTCAATTCATCGGTTTAGTTAACCGACCGAACCGAACTTCCAAAATTTCATTAACCAAGGTTTTTTTATTTAAGCGTTAATTGAACCAATTTTTTTTTAAAAATAATTAATCGAAACAAAAAAAAGTTCGTTTAATCGGTTGGTTAACCAAATTAACCGAAATTTATAAATAATATATACTATATATTAAATATTTTATATTTTTATTACTTCAGTTAATTCAGTCGGTTAATTCGGTTAAAACCGAAGTTTAAACATTCTAATATATAAATAATATATATAATATAATAAATTTTTAATAATTTTGGCTAATTCGGTTAACCGACTGATTTCAAATTGAATTTACTGATAACCGAAGTTTGAAAAAATAATTAACCGTTAACTGAACCTAAAATTAACCGACCGATTAACCGAAAAAAACTTCACTTCAATCGGTTAAATCAGTTTTAACCGAAGTTTGAACACCCCTAACTACGAGTATAAAATTTCTATCGGTTACCATTTGTAACGACACAAAAATTTAGAGTTATTATTCATATATTGATTTGGATTAAGATAAACAAAGTGATGGGCTTGACTGGAGTTATGGGTTAAGATTGGATTTAATTGAAGGGTAAACTACACAAATGATACCTATTATGGGTTATTGATTTATTAAGTTCATTGACTATTCATAATTACAAAATAGACATTCGATTATAGAGTGTTGGTCTGTTGAATCCCTCGACTATTGAAAATTATAAAATGATAACCCATCTATTTATTATGTTCGAAACTTGTCCTTATTCGTTAGAAAATTTGCAGTCGTCTGAGCTAGACATTAACATGATGACTTACATATTTTATCATATCACAGTTAGCAGATTAACATTATGTTGTCAATTTTTTTTTAAAAAAAGGAATAAATTTGGAACATATGAATAGTTAGGTGACCATTTTGTAACTTTTAATAGTCAGGGGATTCAACAAAGTAATATTCTATAGTTGGAGGACCATTTTATAACTTTTAATAGTTGATGACTCAACAAAGTAACACCTCATAGTTAGAGGAACATTTGTATACTTTACCCTTAATTGAATAGGATTTGGATACAAAACATGTTAAAAGAGAGATTTTTTAGCTGAGAACTGAAGTTGAATGACTTGGTGTGCAATTTGCATTTAAGGAAAGCAGGTGTGCGTGTTTTATTTGGAAGTAGGGTTTGGGAAAAATTGTGTTGAGCGCATTAAAACCCCATATCTTTTCTTTTTCTCATCTACGTCATTTTCTTTAAGCCAAACTAAGTCCTTAATAATAAATATAAAAAAAATTAAATTGTAAGAATAAATAAAAAAATCACTTATAAATTATTTTTTATTGGGTTTAATAAACTATCTAAATAATACGTTAAATTTTAAATAAAAATATAAAAAATATATTAAATGCCCAATTATTCACACATAACAAAAATTATCTTATATCAATGTGAAATTAGGATGCCTTGTTTGGTTTATGAAGTAAGAGAAGTGGCAGTCTTCAGAGACCAACAGTAATAGATAAGTATGATGCTTTGGTATCAATATCAGGACCAACACATGATTTTATATTAGAGGACAAACTTAAACTTGGGGGCGAACTAAAATTCAAAGGGTAAAAAGATATTTTTAATAGAAAGTACATAGAAAAATCTAAAATATGATAATTTTAAATTTTCAAAGAGCGACTGCCTCCCACCCCTATAGTTCCATCCCTGATCAATATAACACCACCTGCCCAGTCTGGTAGCTTTATACAGACATGAGAGCTTGTATTTGAGAATTAAGGTGAAAATAAGAATTTTATTACGATTAGAAGGATACATTCATTCAATATGAGTTTATATTAAAGAATTGTTTTAACATCAGAAATAATATCCATTTCAACGATTACACTTATGCCACAATATAATTAAGGTTGATTTAATTCAATTTATTTATTTATTTTATTCAATACTAATATTTATTTTGCAATAGTCTTATATTTCCAATACTCGTAAATAAAATATTCATGCAAGGTAGTTTAAATGTTAAAAAGTTGGCATGTTAAGATTGAGAATATAACGTTAAAAATATAATGAATTTGATAATAAAATCAAGTATAACATGATATATGATGTAGGTTATCAAAAAAATAAAAATAGATTGAAAAATGTATCTAGAGATATGAATATATTAAAATCTCCTAATACTATAATTTTTTATGTTTCAAATTAACCTACAAACTTTAAAAATGAAGCCCTAAGCCCTGCATGATATATTATTTTAGGTCAAAAATATGTTTATAAAAATTCTCAAACGGAAACCTTCACGCCGAGGACCATTGTTTTGAAAACCGGACTGGACGGACCGGTTCAACCGAGAACCGTTGCCTAGTCCGGTTCAATCTAAACCGGTTGAACCGCTACTAGTAAACCGCCAAGAACCGCTAAACCGTTCGAACCAGACCGGTTGAAAACCGGAAAAACCAGGAAAAAAATGGAATTTTTTTTTTTTTTAAAATTAAACCAAA